CCTTTTCACTTTAACAATACAGTAACCCAACAGTGAAATAACAGCAATTCAAATGCGGTCATTTACAGACATGCGGTTTCTCATGCCCATTGTACAGTGCAGTGCTGCCAAGTCTCACACCTTAGGAGTAAGCTCTCGCTCTCTCCTCTCTCTGTCACACACGTACATGCACACACATACAAAATTTACATGTCTGCTCTCACCTATGCTCTTTTGGGAAAACCCACAAATTTCATCAATGTCACTCATACAGATTTAAAAAACCTGGCAGCTTTTGAATAGCTTTTCTTCATCTGCTGCAATTAAGTGTTGGAAAAGAAATCCAAAATGTACAGAGAGAGTCTTTCTCCTTAATAGGAAATGTTAGCAATAGTATGTGATTTCTAATACGTTCCAAAGTTTTGCCACACCATCTTACTGGAAGGCAAAGTCTGCATGCCCTGTGATTAGATTTCCTTAAACGCTGGGCAATTCAGTGTTGTCAGCCATAATATAAAACATTATTTATAACTGTTTAACCATTTTAAGAGTATAGTTAATAGCTTTCTGTAACATGATCTTAAAGAAGTTGATTAAGTGTGCTTTACAACGTGACCAGAAAGAGCTTCCGATTAGTGACATCGATATATACATTTTACATTTCACATGGCCCATACTTTTAAAAGTTGGGAGTGTTGAAACAGTCAAACCAAAACGAAATCAAATAATTAGAACCAAAGCGTTTCCTTACCACACTTCATCAATATCATCGTGTCATGCCAATAGATTGAATATCCACAACATAAAGTACCTTTCTCTGGTAATAAAAACTAGAAATACATACTGTTTCTGTCACTTGTACAAAGCAAAGATGGGCCTCAGGGGAAGAATTGATGTCTGTATCCAAAACTCATCATGGCTTTGGTTCAGCCCATAACACAGAAAGTAAACAGGAAAAATATTAGGCTCTGGATCTGAATAAAAGTTCAAATATACCCAAGGTTAAACAGATGTGATGGGCACCCATTTCTAATTTCAAGGCTATGAATTGCTAAAGGAGTTCATAGGTTGAAAAAGATAGCAAATGTTTTCCAAACACGCTCGACTCTGTTCCCTGAGAGTCCGTAACTGCCCCACCCTTCCCTCGGCAATTCTGGTTAGTTGCTTACAGTTTTTATTCCTCATTCATCTCGTGCCTGAAGAGGGACTGGTCTCATCCTGGCAAAGAAAGTCTCAGTATAATTACAAAGCAGAGGGATTTTTATGTCTCAGACTGAATTTCAAACTTCTTTGGAATCTAATAATGTTCAAATCCAGTTACTGCATTCACATACATTTTTACCTTATTTAATATTTCTATCAAAACCACAATATTAATTTGCCATTGTATATTTTTACTTATATTTATGCACTTAAGAAATTGAGACACTAAGAAAAGGGTTCTGTCAGCTTTTTATTTCCTAATAAATACTCTGGTGAAATGTTTTTCGCCAAAAAATGAGACATGTATCCTTTGGAAATGGTACATACAGGCACAAAAAGAGAGGGAACTGATTTTTTTCAGCCTTAAGAAAAGAAGGCTACAGGGAGACCCTGTTGCTATCTACTAGGCACAGGGTGTAGAAAAGGCAGAACCAAACTCTTTTCAGAGGCACACAGTGAGGCAAGAGACAAAACTAGAACATGGGAAATTCCAATTTGATATAAAGAAGCTTTTTTACAATGAGTGTTTTGAACCACTGGAAGAGGTCCTCTAAGTGATGGTGGAATCTCCATCCTTGGAGACATTCAAAATGTGGCCTGGCAAGGGCCTGAGCAACATGCTCTCCTTCAAACTGCTCTGGAGGTCCCTTCCAACCTCCAGGGTTCTGATTCTCTGACATGTATAGGGAGAATTACATCAAAAAGATACTTGACAGTCACCATTTTTTCCTTAAAAAACCACCCAAATATTGGCTTAATGCTGATTCTACACGCTTAGAGTACAATTCTGGTATACATGAAAAGTATACCATTTGTTGTAAAATACCGGCTTGAATGAAAACAATTTCCTGTTACTGAAATCGGTGGGGGTGAAAAGGTGAAAATCAAGTCAGAAGGAGATGGGATTATTGCCATCATACTTGTAATGAGCTTTTCTAATAGAATTAATGCATTAGTGTTAGAGTCTCACAAGAGTAGGGATTCACTAGGAATGCTGTTCAAACTTCTTTTTTATTTTACAATTTTAAATATTTTGTGGAGAATGTAGGCAAAGATAGAAAATTAGTGGCATTTTTCCTACTCAAGAGCAAGTTTTCCAAAAGATTTATATCACACAGATGAATTTCAGGCGATAGTATCTCATGATTCCTGCCTAGAAAATTCAGACTGATTAAGGCACTCAACCATTAATTCTTGGAGCAAGTGCAAGTTTCACCAGTTCCAATCTCATTTTTCTTGACCCAAATCTTTGTTTGTACCAGTACAAGCATATTGATTGTTGATCCTGGGATCACAGTGCACAACTTGTCCATTTGGGTAAAGTCCTTCATTTCTCAAATGGGAAATTACAAAATGAGAAAAGGCTCTGCACTCTCTTTCTGTAGAATAGCTATCATTCTAGAGGGATAAGATTGGTGTCTGCATTTAGGGTACAAACACATACATGAGAACACTTATTAAATCATATATTTATATCAGTAAGAAAGGTTATTAATTTGAATAACTGAAGAAAAATTTTTACATTATATATATTATAACCACTATATATGTATATGGTTAAGAAATAGTTTAAAAATACATTTTTTTCCTGAAAATTGTGGATGTAAGTACAAGCAAAGATTATTCTTGATTTATTTGTCCTCATATTTACACTGTAGATGTGACAACCAGCATATGTAGTTTACTTTACCTCTTACATACATATCTAGCAATAGAAATAATAACTTAATACTGTATAATGACTAAACCATAACTTTCTCTTTTGACTGTATGAATATTTATGAGCAGAGTATGGAAATACCTCAGGATTCTTAAAAAACTCAAAATTGGGGATATTTTTCTTTTAATACAGAAACAGAGTTTTTTCTAAGCATTCACTGTAAAAACTCTGTTAGCTACCAAAGAACATCTTTATTTCAAACTTCTCATTATAGTCCCATAAACCAGCATTATAATGATGTTAAATAGAAAGCAAAACTACTTAGTCTCACCAACACCCCAGCTGGTGACTGTAAACCCCAAGTTCTTCCCATGTCCCAGCCCACATGTGAACAGCACCCTGTGACTCTTAGATAACTCTTTATCAGGTCATACAGAGCAAAGAGCAGCAAGAACAGGAAGATAGAGATAAGAAGAAATAGCTATCCCCACCTCCTTCGAAATATTTATTGCTGTGCTGATTAACGTACCAGTTTCATTTTCCACTACAAAAATTGATCCGGTCTTAAAGGAGAGAGTGCTGCACATACAATTCTTGTGTCTTCTGAAATGATCGATCAGTACAAGGCAGGGAATTTATTGCTTTCCAGGGAAAATGGAATAGATGAGAGATTATGAATTGTGTATACAAATCAAAGGATTACTTAGTAACCCGTGGTACACCTGAAGACATAAGATTGTTTTCAGAGACAAGCAGCGTGAAACAGAAGCAAGTACAATGAATAACCTTAATTACTTAAAAGGACAGTTTCTATGCTCCAGTTTAGTTTCATTTCTGTTAGGAATGACCATGAAAAAGCTGGTAACTTGTCAAAAAACCTAAGTCAATAACTGTAATAATTAATTCTATAATATTCTGTAATATAGTATTAGAATCACTTAGGTTGGAAAAGGCCTTTAAGATTATAAAGTCCAACCGTTAAATATAAATTCTAATAATAAAATTATGCCTCTCCACATACCCTGTTTGTTGAGAATACACATGAGAACATGTAAGAAACAGTAGTAGCAAAGAGGTAAAGGTGATCTTGAAGACCATTTGTGGTAGCAGGCAATGTTGGGCGTACTGGGAGAATTCCCGCATGCCAACGACAGTTACTCATCGCTGTTAGTCGTTATTCAGACCCGTTACTCTTCTAAGTGATCTACGACTTGACTTCGGATGAAAATCACATAGAGTAAGTGTATCTATGAGGTAATGTACTTTCATGGAGATCCGCCAATGTACGCGAGCAGGAGAACTGTGTGTAAGCATTTATGGTCACTGTCACCTCACCCCTCTGTCAGTTTGGGAAGACCTGCAAAGGCTGGGAGATTAATGGCGACAATTTAGGAGGTGCAAGTATGCCCGTGTTTTGGAAGTGGGACAGAGGAGGAGACGATTAAATTAGGGTATGTGAGTATTCCAGAGGTAGTGTTGTAATAACGACCATGAAAGGGAGGGAACTGTGGTAGGGGGCAGGTGCACTTTATGGAGGTACCAGCTGCACGGCTCAACACAGGCCGCGAGGGCGGCCCTGCCCAGGCTGCCTCGCCCCTCAGAAGGCGTCTGGCTGTGGGAGGCCGCGAAGGCCGCAGGGGCCTCAGGCGGGGCGGGCCT